CTATAAAATCTCAGCTTATCCAAAACATTGCTATTAAAGTCACCTTCCTCACTTGCATGACAGTCTCTCAACTCGTATGTCAACCATACAATACTATTTGGTGGAACTTCTTAATAAAGAGAATATGCTAGGTTTTCATGGGAAATAAATTAACCATTAGGTTGCCCGTACATGATAATTTCCACGTATTTCCAAAAATACTAAACTGCATATAAAAGGTAGCCACTTACAATTGTCTTCTCTCTATTGATTCTAATTAAGCAAAAATTTAATGAAAACTGTTTACACTGGCTAGTGGTAACAAAGTGCTATATATAAAACCACAGATCAATGGAATGAAATTGAACTCAGCTTGAAAGAAAATGACAAGAATCAATGTATGAAGCACAACATTAATAAACCCCAAAAGCATTTATCCTAGATAGTACTGCATGTCTCTAGTTCAATCCTAAACTAAGAAATTCCTATAATGACAATTAAAAATGGTTTTTCTTAATTTGTTTTGTCAAATCTGCAGTCTGCTACATTTCAAGAATATCGAAGTCCCTGAACCTCAGACACACATTCTCAGAATAGGTCATATTCCATACTTGGTGGGTTCAGTCTCATTCAGGTGCTAAAGAGTCTGGTCCTGGTGTGTGAATACACTCATTTTTGTGCTGTACATGCAGATTGCACTATCTGTGGAGTGCTGGGCATGGTCACTGCCTCACTAGTGCTTAAGACAAAAGTTCTATCTGATTTTGGAAAATATGTATTCTATTTAAACTGTGAGCAGAGAGTTTATTTATTCTCACTTTTTGTGCTCTATCCTCCACCTATCCAAGGTTTTTATTTTTAATCAAAGGAATGTTCCTTTTCCTGAAGAAAATATAATGGACAAGACAATTTATGTAACTAATCAGGTCTTAAAGCATATGATACATTGCCACATGAGAAAATGACAGTGGGTCTTGTGAAAGAACAGAATATCACTTTGTTAACCAGGATAATGTTCACAAGTTTAATGAAATAAGTGATATTCATATGCTTCCACAGAATGAAGTGTAATTGATAATGGGGGATATCACTGAATCAAGACACAAAACACATCAGATACACTTTCCATTATCAAAGGAACATTCTAGAGTTAGCCTGACATAGTCCAATTCATGATATAGTTTACCTGACTTTTTTCCCTTCCTTCCATGCGTTTTTTTTTCCCTACTGACGTGTATTTCATAACTTGCTGACTCACAGGTTACAGTTATGCTGTTTATTCAATATAAGTTACTATCCTTGACTTCATGGATTTATTAAACATTCTAGCTCCTGAAGTATAAGGAAATCTGCTCCTGCAGATTTCACATGCCAGTTCTTTCCACACTGTGGAATGGGGAGGGAGTGTGTGAAACCTCTTGGAGGCTTGCTTTTACAGCAGTTCTCATCATTTCCATTCCCAAACACTCAGCACCAGTTGCCATTCTGTGTTGGCATCAACATTCTCCAGTTAGGTTCCTTGTCCTGTGTTATCCTCCTTTAATTTCTGAATGCCCAGATAATATTTCAACTAAATACCATGTTCACTGCAAAGAGAACTCAGTCCCATTGTATTCAGTTTTTCTTTGCTCTTTTATTTTCTTTTGCAACGTTTAATCTATCTTGACTTCTTAAATTTTAAGCTAATGCTTTCTGACTTTTGAAATTTAACTTTGCTGATCATATAACTTTTTTTTCCATCTCTTGTAGGCTCTAGCTTTTACCCTAACATTCTTTTTGAGTTGGTTATTCCCTGTCTTCTCTAAGAACCTAGTGCTGACATTGCTCCAAGTTCTTATCTCTAACTGCAAATACAAGTTTCTAAGAGATTTTGCAGTACTATTTCACATCTGAGTACTTTCTCTAAGCATCTCTGATCAGCTCATCTAAAATACCATTTATGCTTTCTTTACACAAACAATAAATGGTATCACTTTTTGGTTCTTCAGCAAATCAGATAATTTTGTGGGTATCCAACCCTGGTAATCTCAGACAACATTAATAGCATTTGTTCTTAACTGGTAACCATGGTTTTTATTTTCCTTTCAAAATGTGATTTTAGCTATCAGATAGAGACTAAAAATTTCAAGGGCTAGCCAAGCCAGTATTTCAATATGCTCTGCAGGAGTCGCTAAAACACTGTACTAAAAAGTACTAAAGAAGTACTAAAGCACTAAATAAGAGTATGAAACACACAGTGTTCACAGAGGAAAGAAAACAGATCCTTACACTGCAAAGATGTAAGAATCAGTAAATAACAAATTTAAAAGTCCCACCAGAGCTGTCTTGTTTCTAAGATTTGTATTACAACAACACACAACTGTTCTGAGTATATGTGCTATACAATTAAACAGAAAGCTTTTTACTAAAGATGTGCAGAGGCAAAAATTTTAGATCTTCATTTCCAGATGCACAAGCATATTTCAGTTGAAGACTTTGTTCTTGATTTGCTGTTCCTTTTAACTGAACAGATATTTTATTTTGATAGCAATTTTTGCTGTCTTGCAGTATCTATAATGCGTATTCAACAAGTGCCGGGAAGTCCTAGATTTGCTTGTCAATCAGGTTCCAATCACATTTTACATTGCTTTAACTAGTAGAATGAGAACTTTACAACTTAAATACCAGACTTCATGTTTTTCCCTCAAACTTGTCCAGTTTCTTACATCATATAAAACCTGCAGGTTGCCCACACAAGTCCCACTGAGTAGTCTGGTATGGTCTTTCAGTTGCTGCAATGCTTGCTGAGGCAAGCATGTCATGTTTCATCTGGATTCATCATCTGATACAGTTCAAACTGCTCTATCACAGCATCTTTTTTGCCTCCAAGGTAGATATAAAAATAGGGTTTCCAAAACTGGTTGAGGAAAAAAATTCTAAGCAATATTATACCATTGTGAAAACTCCTATCAGAATGCTTGGAGCTCTCCTGGGGATCTTCAGTAACCTCATTTCTACAACAGGATTCAAATGGACGTAGGCCTGAATATTCCACTGAGAATATGTGAACATGGCCACATATTTCTGATAAGGAGTCATAGTTTTGCAACATTCTTATGCATTCAACTTATATTTTCCTTTCATCCATTTTCTTTTCTGGGGTAAGCAAGGGTGAAGAGGCTGTCTGTCATTTTTCTCAGCAGTTTTTACATGCTGCTTTTGCGTTAGGAGAAGTTTTTCTTTTAAAAAAAAAAAAAAAAAGTATCCAGAGCAACTCTGAACAGTTTTTCAAGTTTTTCCACCCACAGCCTCTTGCTCCTGATGTCCCCTATTTCTCAAAGGCACTTTATTCCCTGTGTTCACCCTTCCACTTCCAAAACAACAGTGAAAATGGGAGAGAAGTCACACACACAAACTCTCTCCCGTAATCTGTCCAGCTCTGTCCACTCCTGATCCTCTTTTCACATTTTATGCAATCACTCAGCTGTGCTTTAGGGAATCTCCTAATCCCCTCAGAGGAACTCTGTTCTTTATCCCTTTCCTTTCTCCCTCATGTTTGCATAAGAATATAGCTAGAACAATTTTTAGGACAATGAACCCTCAATTACTCTTGTTTAATTTCAATGAAAAGACTGAAATGAAACACATGCATGTATTTGTTCCAGTTAGATGTTTTATAATAAGTATATTTGTTATACAGACAGTCAGACAAAAAATTGAGCTTTCATTAATAGAGGAACTTCACACTAAGTCGTATAAATGGAGTAAATGGAAAAGAGTTTTCTTTCCTCTGTAGGATAAGAACTTGTTCCTTAATAAGGTCAGTGCAGGAAACGATTGAACAGAGAGATGTTTATTATCCAGGACTGAAACAATCCTCTATTTATTTAAAGGAAAGGAAGGAATCAGAAGGCAATAAAATATCTTCCAACTTCTGGTTATCATCAGGAGGTTTCTTTGGTAATTATAATGTGGGTCCATAAAAAGTATGGTACCTTTTATCAACAGACAAGCACATCTCCATGTCCAGAGTGCCTTTCAGTATCTACCCTATTTTGGCTGAAACAGACAGACTTGTTCTTGCTCCCCTTTAGACCATTCCATTAAATGCCACTGCAGACACCTCTATTAATTGTTTAGCCATAATATGGATATAAGTTTCAATTTTAACCTTTGCATAAGTCATCACAGCTAGACTATGCCCAGATTTTCTAGAATCTCTCTGTAAAATAGCTCCAAAGTGCTAAAAGAGCTAAAACTTTTCTTCAGGCCCTCATCACGTCATATTTCAATTAGCGTGACGTTTGTTTCTCCAGCCTTAATATGTGAAATATGTTCCTTTGCACTCCTTCTGTATATTTCATTTTCAAAACTCAGCACTCTATCTCCTCCTTCTGTGTTTATCGATTGGCTCTCTCTCCTCTACTAGTGTATCAATGACAACTTATTCAACTTGCCTTGGTTATTGATTGTACCTCCCTCATCTGTTACATCTTCAATTCTGAGAAGTCAACTTCCATCTCTGGTAAGTCCAGGATATTGCTCTCCATTTGATAAATTTTCAAGTCAGCCTGGCTAGGCTTTCTCTCTAGCCAATCATAAATTTGGAGAGGGTCTTTTTGTGAAATTCATTATTCTTTTACAAATACATCCCTAAAACTCTATTATAATGCCAAAAAAGTGTCAGCAAGATTTGAACACCTTGTGTGCCAAGATACTATCATAACATTAATTCCATCACACTAATTTCGCTGAACTTTCCCTTCTGTCTATCCATTTAGTTCTCTTGCATAATATTTTTCTGCTTAACTTTTTGGGATGGTTCATATAGCACGTGTCTTTAGTGTTCCTAAAACAAAAGGTTTTCTTTCCGTGATTGGAGCTCTGAGTCTTTATCAAACTATGTCAATGTTATATTCTGTATTTTTAAAAATCTCTAGCTAGATTATATTTAAAATACAACTATTGATTCACGTGTATGTCCTGTCCTTATTTTAATAAATCCATGATTCTTAGTTCTTATGGGGAAAGTAATTACTTACTGGTTCAAGACAGGTGTATATGCTGTTTTATCTTCATCTATGATGGTGACCATCAGAGTAATAAGCTGTGCCCAGAAATCCAAGTTCTTTGTTGTTGGTCCCTGTTCTTCCTTAGGAACTTCTTGCTTCTTACCCTGTTAAAACAAGATTGAATATATTTTATACTTGATAAAATCAGAGAAATTAAAGGGAAAATACTATGGGATTTCCACCTACAGATCATTACTTGGTTGGAAAGAG